TTTCTCTAGGAAAAAAGAAATGCTTTTCTCCAAAAACCTAAAAATCATTCCATGGTAGGACCACATAGCATGCTTGTTAACGTTTTTGGAACAAACATCTGGTAACAGCCACATAGACTATTTCAGTGATAACACAGTACAAGCAGTTCACCTTTTGCTATTCTAATGAACCTTATCTGAAGCTTTTCCAAGAAGATAAAATAGATGAAAGATAAAAACGACCTCTTGCAATGACTGCAGCAAGCCATTTGTAAGCATGGTTTCTTAAACTCCAGTTCATAAATCACTGTTTAGACTCTTGCAGGAGTGGCCAGATTTTTGTTAATTTTATTGTTCCCCACAGTCTGAGCACCCAGGACTGTTCTAGTGAGGGAGATACTAAGGAAATGCTAAGGAAAATGGTGTTGCTTCGACCAAGTATCCCATACTTTGGGAGTTGATCGCTGTCCCCCAGTCAGACCCTGTAAAACATGGTCCAAGGAGTATCTTGATCCCAGGAGAAGAGGAAGGGGGAAATGGGACCAGGGATTATATTTTGCTTTGCCAGAGACAGGCTCTTGCGTGCAGGCAGTGTGGGTGTTGGGAAAGACACGACCTTGCATGGAAAGTTGTTGCCCTGCTTGGGGTGGTAAAGCTGATATAAACCTCTCGGTATGACTTGCTGTGTTACAGCAGGGATCAATTAGGGTCCACACAGGTCACTTTCCTGCCATGACATGAAGACTTTCCAGTCTTCCATGTGAGAGAAGGGAAAGAAATTACATAGATTGCCACAGCCTTTTTTTTTTTTTTTTCCTCTTCAATTTGTGCTTTCTAGGGGAAAAAAGAAAACATTCTTTCCTCTAATTTTACAACTGAAATGGTGAAATGAAGGCTGCAAGTGCTTTGTGCTGTTTCTGTGTATTTTTCCATCAGACTGTTGTGTCATAGGAATGATGCTCTGTACTCTTTTAACACTGGTCATGGGCTATTTAGAGGAGGGGAAGCCAGGACTGAGCCAGCTTAAGGGATATGGAAGTGGTCTGAGCCTGAAGGAGCCTGCGTTCTCTTGCCTGTGGTACCACTTTGGTAATGCAGTTTCCATTTCTTCTACAATGTGGAGCCATTTTCCCTGGTACTTCTGCTGTTGTGGCATCACAGGATCAGGGCAAGCAGGGAGATGCTGCAACTTGTGTTCCTCCATTCACCTCCATTGCTAGCAGGAAGGGTCTTGTTATTGGAGGGTTGCTTGTTTTTGCCTTACGTTATTCTGCACAGCATCCCAAAGGGACTGGGCATCAGTCCAAGGAGGTGTGGGCTGTGTGTAGGTCTTAGCTGCATGGACATGGCCTTGGCCTTGTTCATCTTCCCAGGCGTTAGGAGTCAGGAAAGGTTTCCTTTGCTGAGGAACGTGAGCTAAAGACTCAGCATGATCATCTGTCCTTGGAAAGAGGATACCATATGCAAAAGGTGAACATTCCAGCTTGGTGGTTTCTCCATGATCCTATAATATATGCTGGCATGGTGGATTTGGCACAACAGGATACGTAGAACAAGAAATATTTTAGGATTAATCTGAAATAAGGCATGAATAGAGTGCTACTATCTTTCTCCTCGCTAATATGTTAAATATAACTTGTCCTGCTTGAAGAAGGGTAAAATCTGCTTATAAATGAGCCACCAATGTGAACTAGTTCAATTCACCAATGAGCTGTAAAGCCCTCAGGAAAGTACTTCCTGGGACATAGAGGGGTTATTTTGGGGTGAGGAATATCTCGGTCAAAGTCACATGAATCAAGTCCTCCATCATGTGAATCTTCATGGGGTCAGGGCCTTCTGTTTTTTTACTACCTGATGGATGTTCTCCAGTTGTGGGATGCTCCATTGAAAACAAGAATGATGGGAGAGGCAGTCCCTCACCTCATCTCTATACCTGTATGGTTGATATGAGGCTCCCAAACACTTAGACTATAGAAAAATAACGGAGGAAAAACATATATAAAAAGAAATAACAATATGTAATCGGTCTCAGGGTCATTCCTGGCACTGTGCAAGGAGGAGCAAGAAGGCTGGGCCGGGACATTGCCAGCTTCATCAGTCCAAGCAGATATCCTGGATGATAGGAGGGCTCTAGGCTGGCTCAAAGTCTTCAGGGGGCTGGAGGCAGCCCAGTTATCCCCTACTCTGCTTCCCGGCCTTCAGCATGGGCAAAATAAATTGCTGAACATCCTGCTGCAGTCCTTGAGAGCTGCCGACATGAAAAACATAATAAAATGTTTCCAGGCTCAGCCCAAAGCAAGCATTGATGTCTAAGAGGAGCAGACATCTGATGGAAATACTGACACGCTTAAGCACTTGGAACGACAAACCACACAGAACGTGAATTATCGCGCGGGATGAGCCAAGCAGCTAAGAAGATGGAGTGTCTTCTCCTTAAAAGTGAATGCACACAAAAGCACTTCAGCACTGCTGGGTCAGCTCTTCCCTGCTGTGGAAGGTGTATTTCTGGCTAGTTCCTGCCACATGCCTTTTTCCTTCACTAAACTGTCAGGAAACTGCCTCTTCTGTTAAACATTTGCTACATGCAACAGTGGTAGTGCTGCAAAGAGCCAGTCTTCATTAGAAGTGTCTCCTGGTAGTTTTCTATCAATTACTGCTTTGGCAAAAGTAATAAACGACTGAATTTTAGTCATATCTTGGGAGCCAACAACCTAAATTGCCTCTTCCTCCCTAAGAAACCATTAAAGCTGCAAACTCATTAATTCCAGCACTGCTGTCCGGTGGCAGAGTGGACTCCTATAACACACTAATTAATTCCACAGTAATTCATACCTATGAAAGTATGCATATATAACTCTAAAATGTGGATTTTGAGAAGACACTGTTAAGGCTAGTTTGATTTCAGGTGGAAATTTCATTTGGGCGAGGAGAGGATGCAACTTCTCTTGCACCCTCATTTGCAATAGAAATGTTTGATGAAAGCTTTCAAGGAAGCATCAGAGCGAGCTGTTTCCCAGCACTGAGGGTGGTCTTGTTAGCACACAGGACTGAAGTTAGGAGATGTGCATTTGTAGCCCGACCACTAACTTAGAAACTGTGCTGTTTTGCCCAGAATTTTTCTGAATGCCTCAATATGAAGTCAGAGGAGAAGATCTAACCCTACCCAGAAGGAGAACTACCCTACCCAACCTCAATCCTCAAGGTCTGCTTTGAACACCTCTACCAAACATGGGCTGCACTGAGTTACTCACAAAGGTGTTGCAGACACTTAATTCACAAAATGAGGGTTCCAGCCTTTTGCATGACACTGTGATGGCCGAAGAGTGTGGCCTCAGGAGGGATGACTTCATGTTCCCAACAAAGAAATGTCATTGCTGGCTGCAGAAGACCAGGAGTAGGAGAGGAGCCATCCTTGTTGGAAATACGAGGTAGCTGATGCTAGAAAGCAGGCAAGGAGGCTCTGTGCATCCGTGTTCAGGACACTGATAGGGATACATGAGGTCTTGATCCTTGCTTAAAATACTGTTTTTTCTCAGTGCGGAAGTGAAACCATTTCTGCTTTAGTATTTGGCATTGTATTTGAAAGCTACGTGAGAAGTAATAACGGTAAACTCTCATTCTCCAAGGTCGCAATTAGGCAAAGTGCTTAAGCACATGCCTGAACTTAAGTGCACATGTAAGTACTTTGTGGAGGTCTTTGATCTCCTCCTGTTGTTAGTTTAAGCCATAGGCATTTAAACTGAAATTTGCAAAACTGCTTAAAAAGGTCAGATACATTAAAACCACTAGTAACGTTCTCCTTTCAACTACCACTACATCTTTCCAGGTCCTTCTCCAAGTCACTAGGAGTGAAGTGTGCATTTAATAGGAATCAGAGTAACTGTCAGACACTGACCAGGGAGACTGGGGGCTGAGAAGTAAAAATAAAGTTGTCAGAAATGAGATGATAATCTTTTCCATGGAAGATGCTTTAGACCTTGGCTGCTCTTCTCTGGTTCTAAGGAAACTTTGTTCTTTGTTTCACCTTTCCCTATTTACATTTAATAAAAATAGTTTGTTGCTTTTTCATTAACACAGGTTCATTATTGCTTTTTAAAAAGTGGCTTCTTTTTAGATGGTTGATCAGTACAGTTTGGCTTATGCTTAGTCTGGGCTTGTTCCTGTTTGGTAGGCTTATGATATAAAAGCCAAAATATACAAGTCTTGATCATTTGGCAAACAGCTAGGGTAAAACCATATGTTTTATATGGAGGAATTTTGCAGCTGCATGGAGTTTGTTTTCTAGTAGATTAAATTAGCAGGAGTTTCTAACATGTTCAATGAACAAAGAGCAGTATCCAGTCTTCCTAGTGTGAAGCTATGTCTGAGGTCTTTTAGTTGGAAGCTGTAGTTGGTGCCATTTAAAAAATCCATACAGCCCAAAGGAAGGAAGAAAGTTTTTCACCCTAGAGTTTCCTAGTTTCAAAGAGACTGTGAACTCACAGTTTAGCATCAAAGCAGGGTCAGATCTGGAAGGAAGGAGATCCTGGAGTTCTGTCTGTCTTTTCTTTTGACTGAAGATATATAATTTAAGAGAAAATTATTTCTTCACCAAAAGAAAAGAAAAAAGCATACCTTTACTGTGCACCAGAACACCTTGGGCTTGTTGCCAGCGTATCTCAAGAAAGAGCTTTGTGACCCCAATGTGTGTGGGCTTTGCCAAGTGCTAGATAATACCTCACATGGTTTAACATGTTCCCTAGAATGCACTTTTTTTTTTTTTTCCCACAAAGAGCTCTCAGGTTGGGTTAATTTGTTGCAGCTTGTGTCTTCTATCCAGACTTTTCCCTGGTTTCTTACAGGTCCCAGAAACCTGTAGAGGTTGACTTTGGCTCATCCAGGGTCTCGGAGAACCTTCCAAAGACTTAAATCTGGAAAAGGGGGACTCTGGCACATGGAAGCATCAATATGCTTCTTTTTTTGAAATGGTCTTGTGTTCTCTGACACCTGCTTACTCATTTCTGTTTCTTCTTCCTTTGCAGAATACTTGAGGAGTGAGACTGCCTTCTTGGAAGAGTTGGTGTTTGGAAGTGGAGATACCATTGAACTCTCCTGTAACACTCAAGGCTCTTCTATGTCTGTTTTCTGGTTTAAAGATGGTGTTGGGATTGCACCTACCAACAGAACTCATATTGGACAAAAACTGTTGAAGATTATCAATGTGTCTTACGATGACTCAGGGCTCTACAGTTGCAAGCGGAGGCATTCCAATGAGGTCCTGGGAAACTTTACAGTCAGAGTAACAGGTATGTACAGGAGTAAAGTTATTTCTCTCCTTTTTTTTAATTTTTTTTTTCTCCTGAAATTTTGTCTCTTTATGTGTTCAGCCCTGGTGGTTCTTTGCACTGTTTCTCCCATGGGATTTCAAGCTCATTAGCAAGCCCTAGCAGTTGCTGGACTGGCAAAAAGCAAACGATCAAAGAGTGATGCATGTCCCTACCACATGCTAAAGCTTGGATGCTAAGATGACTTAGAAAGGGTACTAATCAGACTAAACCCCAAATCCCCCTGAACGCTCAAATAGATGCAATGCTACATGTTCCTTTGAAGTCCTTTATGAACGAATGAACTGTGGCTCAGCAAGGTTAAGTGACTTTTTCCAGTTTGTGGGGCAAATCCGTGGAAAAATTGGATGTAGAAGCTGAGGGTTCCTAAACACTATTTCTGTTCTAGCTGATGAATGTGGCTTCCTTCTCTCCCAGTTATCACAGATGACTTGTTTGTTTCTGAAGTAGCTCGTCTGTAAACTGTGTATGTCTAGGGTCTGTGCACTGTCGAAGACACTTAGAGGGAGCCATTCACACATTGCAGACAAATGGTTGTGTTAGCGAAGCACCTACTGTCCTTTGCCTGACTGTTTTCCGTGATTAGGACAGTTGGACAAGAACAGCTGCAAGATAGTCCAAGCTTGGATTGCTAAGCAGAGGGTGCCAGAAAAATCTGTTCTTCACAGATAGTTAGCAAAGCATGCTAAGATCATCCTCATTATTTCAGATTGCCACCTAGATGTCCTCCCGATAGCTCAGATTAAAGGCCTGAATTTTCAGAAGAATTAACTAACTCCCTGTGGATGTAAGGTTTTGAAATATTTCCTTTCCCTTACGCTACTGGAGCTTTATCAAGCACCCCAAACAATAGACCCTGCTTACTGTGCCTTCAGGAAGTGGAGCTCCCTGAAAAAGTAAGGAGTTCCATCTGAAAACTAAACACAGAGATGTGTGTGATAGCAAATCCGGGAGGTACTTGAGATATTACATCCATTCACATCCATTCCTGAAGGGGTATTTGCTTGCCAAAAAGAGGATTTTATGCTCAAACCATCTTGAGAATAGATGCTCGTTTCAGCAAGCCTTCACCAACATCTGCTTTTCATTGAGTTACTGGAGATTGCTGCGTATGCTTCAAGGTCATATTCAATTAAATTTTTAAAGAAGTATTTGGCCCCTGAAATGCTTTCCTTAACTAGGTACAATTATTGGGAATATCCAAGGAATTGCAGGTTGTTAGAAATGTTACTCCCTTTCTTTTAAGTGACATTAAAGTGCTTTGGAGTTCAAGGGGCAGCAGGCGAGCAGAAGAGGGCAGTCGGCTCCACATTCAAACGAAACAGCTGCCAGCCCCCAGAGTTTGTAAAGTGAGAAATTGTTTTTAATAGTGGAAAGACTGATAATCCCGAGGTTTTAAAAAGTGTAAGCCCCTGTGTTTTTCCTCTTCGTTAATAATAGCTAATAACAGCTTAGGAACGAGCGCGTAACCCGAGCCTACGCTGCGCCGGCATTGCCCTCTTTGATTCTGCTAGCCCGCTGTCATTGCCACCAGAGCACTGGTAATGTGGGAGTCTCGGTTTTAGCCGTCAGCCACGCTCGTTGGAGACTTTGAAGCCCGGCTTTATGTGGCAATAGCGGCGCCTCTTGTATCCGCCGATATTTCTCTGTAATTATTATTGCTTGCTTGCTATTCCTCTCCGGAGACCAGATTGTTATCTGAGATTCGTGGTGTATGTTCCTGCTTCTTAGTGGTACTGCTGGTGTGGTGTCTCCTTTGAATATTTATGTGGATATCTAATGTTAGGGGCCAGAGCGGTTGCTCTCTGTGTTAAGCTGGTTTAAATCAGAGCTAACAAACTTCATTGTGCTAAGTGAGCAACCAAGCTTTGGTTGGCATTTTGGTGGCTTTTCCTGTGTGGGTGCATTGTGTCGCTGCACTGGGAGGTCTCACAGAGGAGCCAAATGTGCTTCCCATCTCACCAAGCATTTGCAGGCTGTTGAGGCCTCCCTGTTGACTGTCATAAACCAAAATTGGTGTCTGCATCAGCAACTGTCAGATGCCTAGGCGGATCGAAGCCGCTCCTCTCAACTGAGAAACAGATTGATTCTTAGCAAGGTCGAGCATCTTAAAAGATGCCACTATTGGCCCATATGGCCTTGGGCACTTTATTGGTCTACAAGTAAAAAGCGTACTGTTTGAAACACAAACGCTTTGTGTGAATTACAAATAAAAACTTAAAGTGCAAACTGATCTCCAAGGTTGGTTGTGGAAGATGCATTTGTACAACCATTTTGTGCGTGGAACAGTCTTTGGATTTAGTGGCCGAAGGAGGCAGAGCAGGAGTCTGGACCCCTGTGGTCAGCGCTGAGGAAATACCCAAGTCCAAGCTCTTCAAAACAGGTAGCTAGCAAAATGAAGCCCCTTTGCTGGCATAACTGAGGCCATTTCAGAAACACTGTCTAGTTCTCATGAATGCCAGTTTCCACTGCCTTCTGGCAAGTATTGCTATTTCAGTAAACATCTAACAAACAGCTCAGTAAATTTTCAGTCGCTTTCTGGTAACCATTTGAGTACCCTAGTGGGAATGTGGCACCAAACATCCCAAAACCAAAACTGCTTTCCTAAAAATCTCTCATCTGAAACGCGGGCAAGGTCGAAAACTCCTTCTTGCTCCTGCTGCATTTCTGTTCCTCCTGTGACAGTCAGTACATTTGAAAACAGAAGGAAACTATAATCATATATTAATGTATAAGTAACCAACCCTCTCGCAGAGCAGGGCTGAGAGTTTGCTCGTTTTTCTGTTGATGCTGGTGGGTATTTGGCCACGTTTCTGTCTTTGCTGGGACTTGAGTGAACCTGCTGGTTCCACTGAAACACCTCAACGTGCGCTCGGCTTTCGGCAAGCCCCATGGTGTTTCTCTGGTTCTGCTGCCAGCAGGACCTTAACGTCGATTTGCAGTTATATATGAGCTGTGTGTTTGCAGTTATATATGTGCCTCATGTCTCTCTTGAGACGATGTCAAAGTGAAGGTGCAAAGCACGATGTGCGACTGTAATATCTGAGGCAGGGCAGTGGTTCCTGTGTTACTGCTTTGCACAGCAAATGTCTCTGTAAATTCTTCCCCAGTTCTGCAGAAAAAATAGTTTGCTGCCTTTTCTCTCCTTTTTTTTTTTTTTTTTTTTTTTAACCTCCATGCTTTTTATCATTTTGTTGGTTAGAGGATGATAGGAAACTTGAGAGCACATCTTGGGATGAAGGAGGTTCTGCCTGGCTCGGTCAAAACTGGTGCATCACCCATTGAACCCTCCTAGGTTCAGAGGTTTTCCTCTTTTCTAGTGTTTAATGCTAAGCTCTGCTGCTGTTGCCTCGGGACATAAAGGCTGCATAATGACATAACAGCTGTGCTGTTATCATTTGCCTGTATTTAAAAAAGAAATTCCTGCAGATTATGCCAAGGGAGAGATGGCTGAGTCTTCCACACACTGGATTACATCATGTCACCTGAACAGCCTGACACTGTGTTGTTATTGGCTTTGCATTTATAGCAGTCATTGAGGGGAAAAGGGCTGGGGCTTATTGTGGACAACTTGGGAAGGGAGAGGTGAGAGCCCCTTAAGGAAATGGATTTGGGAAGTTTCTGAGCAGTGTAAGATACTAATGGAAACTTCCCCCTGCTAACCTGGTTTGGTTTCATCCAGGAGGTGCCTCTGTGGATGGAATATAACATGGAATATAATATGACCTGATTTGAGGAGTCACTCCAAAATGTCCATCTAGAGAGAAATTTGGTGAAGCTCTAGGAGCTTTGGCGTGACCGAGGAGTTAACGTGGGGAGACGTGCAGAGGTGCACTGAGTTAGAGGAACAGCACAGCGAAAGTGAATGGGAAACGCTGACTTGTCACTTGGAGAGGCAGTGACACAGAAAGTACCCAGCGCAAGTCAGCGAAACAAGAAGGGGGGAGAGCTTATTCTTTAAAAAGAACCTTTCTACTCAGAACTGCCTGTTTGCTGGCAAAGAGAAAAAGCTTTTCATGCACGGAGAAGCATTTGGCGTTGATCGCCGGCGCTCTGGTGGCAGAACACTGGTAAACTGGCTGCGTTTCTGTCCCACCTCGGAAAGCTCCTGGCTGGTGGTGGCTGCAGATGGAAACGTGTCGGCCCTGGCAGTGCAGGAGGGACGAGCCAGAGGGTCTGCATGAATGGGGATGTGAACCACGCACGTTCCTCTCGGGGGGGTAATGAAAGCAGGGATGAGCAGGCATTGCTGCATTTATTTGCTGTGTTGTGATGGAGCAACTAATCGTGGGTACATTGTCAAGGCACATGAAGAACAGAAGGGTGATTGGGAGTAGTGAGCATGGATTTATCATGGAGAAGTTGCACTTAGCAAACCTGATAGTCTTCTGCAGTGAGATGACTGGCTTTGTGGATGAGGGGAGAGCAGTGGCTGTTACCTGCCTCAGCTCCAGTAAGGCTTTTGACACCATTTTCTACAACATCCCCATGGACAAGCTGATGAAGCATGGACTAGATAAGAGGATGTCGAGGTGGACTGAGAGCTGCCTGAACTGCTGGGCTCAGCGGGTTGTGATCAGCATCACAAAGTCCAGACGGAGGCCAGTCACTAGTGCTGTCCCCAGGGAGTTGAGACAGAGGCCAGTATTGTTTAACATCACCCTTGTGCAAATGAAGCCCAAAGCTTCCCGAGCTGCATTAGGTGAAGGGAGATGATTCCCCCTTCACTCCGCACTAGTGAGCTGCCCCCGGAATGTTGGGGCCAGCAGTCGGCTTCCCAGGACAGGACAGACACGCACCCTCACTCTGCATATGCCACACGGGGCTGGATACACAAACATCAGGGACACAGAGCCTAACTCCTCGCTTTTCTTGTTCTCCTTCCCATTCTAGATTCTCCTTCATCGGGTGATGATGAAGATGATGATGATGAATCAGAAGATACAGGTAATTAACTTTTCTAGGGTACAGAATCCTCTTCTTTTAAAAGATGTGCACCCCAAAAAAGCCTTCCCCCAAAAAAGGGGAAGTTTAGCACTGTGTTTGATCCTCCTCCCCGCTTTGTCTCCGCCAAAAGCAGGTTTTCAGAGACCAAACTGGTTGCACATGACCAAATCTGATGCAACAGAGTTGGGGAAAGCAGCATGTTCCTGGCCATGCCATGGATCTGCGCTGGGGCACAGATATCTGTGTAGCTGCTCTGAAAAACAGCAGTAACGCTCTTACTTGCCACTTGAAGTCTTCCAGTAATATTATCTGATGGCTCGCTGGGTCAAACTGGAACTCATGGTCCACATTTAAAATCAGTTTGACTTAAGACTGATAATAAAACTCTCAGGACCTGGCAGCATGATAATACTTATCTAGAAATTCAGCAGTAGTTCCCAGTATAGTGTAGCGCCTATAATATCTAACAGCAGCAGTAGCTTAATTTTCTTTTTTTTTTTTTTCAAACTTGATTCTGTGAATCTGACTTTACGAGTAGTTAAAACTTTAAAACTGACTTTAAAGTAGTTATAAATTTGCCTTGCATTTAAAATCCAGAGAAACCCACTCTATAATCGTGGGGTTTTTTTTGTTTTGTTTTTTATCTACACCAAAGTTACACGAGTTTTATACACCCTGCATATCTTGGCCTGCTTTATATTTAGCCATTTGAATCCTGCTCCTTACCAGCATCTTGGCTGGAGGCAGAGGCAGCTTGGAGAATAAAATTCACACTAGCCAAAGGCCAAATTTACCGATGCCGTTAGCGGGAGCAATTGGTTTGGCTTTACTGGTGAGCTCAGGTTACTCCTAGGGAAATGAGCTCCAGCACTAAGCCCCTCAATGCTTTTCCACTGAATCTCTTTCAGTCCCAGCGCTTGTTGCTTTAAGTACGATACCATTAATCAGGACCATTACACGCTTCATAGGCGTTAGTGTTGTGTTTTATTACGCTCTTTATATTCCTGCAAAGCGGGCTGCCTGTGTGTATGTGTTTTTAATAAATAAACGTCTTTCATTTGAACTCCAAATCAGCTATGTACGTTGGCAGGAATTCAACGTGACTGGAAAATGTCTCTTGCCCATAAGCGCTGGACGTGTAGGACTCTCTAAGCAGGTTTCCCACCGTAGTAAATTTGTACCGCTGTGTCTTGCAGTATGTGGACAGTAATTGTGAGCTACGGAGCCAGGCAACCCGTCGGCAGCAGTTAGTGGTTTTCTGATAGCTTCTAATTAAGCACCAAATCCTGCAAGGTGAAAAGCACCTTCAGAAATGCTCAGTCCTCCTACCACTTGGCAAAGCCCATTGGAGCTGTGGTAAGGGTCGGGCTTGGTCAGGATTTGTGCCCACTGGAGACTGGCTTCTGATTTACACAATTAGTCATTCTGTACTTTTTTTTATGTGGTTTGTAGTAAACTTCAGCACTTAGCAACAGGTATCACAAAACATGAGCTGTTTTATGGTACAGAAAGGCACATTTTTCTTCACTGAGAAGGAAAGCACACACTTCGCCACATGTATTTATAGCCTGTATTCTGGGTCTTCTTGACTTTAAGGCTGTCTCTTTTTTTAGACCCACTAAACCAGTAACCACTGACTTTGCTTAAAGGTCTCACTATAAAAAACTGGATTCTCTTCTGCTTTAAGCGTGGTTGAGTAGCTCAACATGATGGGGTGGTGAACCCTCGTGCTGTCAGCATGCTTTAATGTGCCTGGTTGAACCAGCCTCACGGCACAGAGGTGTCTACCTTCTTAATGAGTTGCCCAGGCCAACAGTTGGCCATCACATGTGCCCATGATCAGCAGAAGATCAGAGGTAATAAACACCCCTTTATCATTGAAAAAGAAAAATATAGCTAAGAGTTACCACCCACGATGGGCAGCTGCTCTGATGTGGGAAGATGTGTCCACACAGGTCTGTGACAGGTCTTGAAGGACTATAGGGAGCTGATATAATCTAGGCGTATTTTTTTTGAAGAAGTCCTCAACAGAAGTTTTGTGGAGTGGTTTTACCCCTGCCTCAGCCCTGCTTGGCCCAGTCTTAGCTGCCTTTCACAGGATGTAACCTTTTCTTCTTGAAGCTCAACAGGTAGTCTTTTTCTTCCACCCTCAAAACACTGTCTCTTACAATGACAGAGGAATTTTCTGGCTTTCTTATGTTCTTTAAATTCGAGTATATTGTCCTCCTATTGGTTGAGAAGTGCTTGGAAAGGTGGTTCTAGTGGTGCCATGAGTTTGAAGCCATCCTCATGAACTTTGGGGATTTGACCCAAAAGTGTTGAATGATGGTGCTGGACACGGCAAAACTAGGGAAGAGGAGGAAAATGGTGATAAAGGAATGAATATTTGGTGCTGAATCCTTGAAGAACCTGGAGGCAGGGCCTCTGCATGGAGTCTTTTGCTCTGCTAGTGCTCCTTTAATCCGCTTCTCCAAGCATCAGTGCGGAAAGATGTGACCTTGGGGACAGGAGGTGGCGAAAAAGAAGGAAGAGCTTCAGTAACTTCAAATCGTCTGTGCATTTGTTGCAGGCTTGTCACAGACTCTGATCTGCCTTTGCCAAAGGAGGTTTCCCAGTACCTATACGCACTTCTGATGTTTTTCCTGGCCCTGAAACAAAAACAAAACTCCCTTTTTACACGGGAATCTTCTGGCCCGGTGCTCCCTGCCCCTCTGTATCCGTATCTGTTTGCTTGGAGCCCCCACTGGCTCACCAGAGCATCTTCAAAGAGCCCCTATAATCTCCAATTAAAGCTGGCAGTGTCCTCGGAGGCGTCAGCTGGGGAAATTGCACAATTAAGAGCTCATTCTGTCTGTGCAGAGTTTTGTGGCAGCTCCTAATTGCTAAATGAGCGCTTGGGCTGTATTAATTATTCCGAGTATCGCTCAAGGTTTTTTTTTTTTTTCTTTTAATTGGTCATTCAAGTCAGATGGATGGCCAGTGTCTCTATTGAACAAAACAGACTGTTGAGCTCTGTGTTTGATGGTCGGTGATAGTGTTTGCGGATCCCTTTTCTTCACACCCACACATGCTGTATTATTGCTCCTAATTAAGCTGGAGCTGGTGTAAAAACGTTGTCTGTCTCTCATCCCTCCTCGTTCCTCCTCCCCAGAACTCTCTGGAACTTTGCAAACCTTGTCGGGAAAGAAATAGACAAATCTTCACCTCTTTAAAAATAAGTAAGGAAAAGGGGGAAGGTAAACTACAAGTGCTAATATTTTGTGAGCTTCTCCTGAGAACTGTTTCTGAATGTGGTCTTGGACACTGATTTCCAGTTCCTGACATTATGGAGAATATCCTGCAGCCGGAGACTTTCCTGGGCCCTGTCGTGCTCCTTGCTGATGGCTGGTGTTTTTTCTAACAGATATTCACAGCTGCCTCGAGTCCTGCCTTAGCCTGTGCTGTCCTGTGGCATGCGAGGCTTTTTCTGGCCGTGCCGTTCTGCACCCAGGATTTCTGGTCCAGTATCCCAAACTGGGAGGTGCTAAGCAGATTTTAGTCCTGGTGACCAGGCAGGAGCAGGGGAGGCAGACTGCATCTCCAGTGTTGGCAGGCACTAAAATTGCTGGGTGCATGGGTTGTCTTACATGGGCTATATGAGCCCTGCTGCAAAATCCTGGGAGCTAAAAGGCAACAGGCAGGCACAGGAGAGCCTGGGAAAGCGGTTTATTCATGAAGAGCCCTGCAGTTGGTTGAGTTGAGGGGGTGCCCTTCGCTTCGGGGAACTTGTCCGCTGGAGATGTTGTCCTGGCTGGAATGGCCTCCTCCACTTTCAATCTTCCCAAAGACCGGAGGGAAAGAGCCCCGGCTTATGCTGATGGAGCCAAGCCAGAGTTTTGCTCTGTGCCTTTAGTATTTGCCCTTGAGGTGCCTGCAGAGCTGCAGAACTGGGATTTTCAGGAGCTGGTGGGACGCCCCTGTTCACCTTTATGAGCTTTCCCCAAAGCACCAGCTTCACTTTGCGAGACCTGATCCAAGTGCTGGGGGTGCGTGAGCGAGCGGCCAAACACCTGCTGGTTTCCACCAGGCTGAGTTGTGTCCAGCCAGGCTGAAATTAAAACTAAATATTGAATTAGCAGTCAGGAAAGGATGAGGACTGAAGGCAGGCTCTGTAAAACCCTCCGTCAGGCCTGCTATTTCCCTGGAAATAGTGTCAGATACTGTGCTGGTCTGTTCCTCAGCATGGCAGGAAAAATATCCCAAGTGTAGATGCAATGTTCCCTTAAGCAGAGAAAAGAAAAAAAAAATAGCTTGGGAGATGACTTGTTTTTCTTTTAACTTTCTGTCTTTGTAGTATAATAAGTTTGCTGCCGCTGCTGCCTTAATTTGGAGTTAATATGTAATGTTTGTAGCGAAGCCAAGAAACATTGCTGTTCTTGAGGCAGATTATAAAAAGTATCTCATGCTAACGCTGGTATTTTAAAACTTATCCCTGTTCAAAGGTAACATGAGTCTTTAAAACCAAAATCACTTGTACTTTAAGAACATAAACATGATAAACCAGTTTGGCATTGCCTTTTTTTTCCCCTTTCTTTCCCTTAAGGAGGCTACAGTACATTTCTGCTCACTGAGAAGCAAAACTTTCCAGAGCCTTCAGCTAACACTTATTTCTGCTCCCTTGTTGGCCTATCAACATTTTTTTACCGTTCCAACATCTTTCTGCTGTTCATGCTTCTTGGCTACTCTTATCCTAAAGGTACATCTGTATCTTTTTAAGCACCGAGGCCCAATTCTCACCCTAATCTGGAATAACTCTCACGCTTGATTTAAAAGCAGCTCCTCTAGATTTATACTGGCGTTACTGAAACAAGAACCTGGTCGTGAACCTTTCATCACAAACCTAAAATGGAAACACCCTGTCTCCGTCTATGAGAATCATTTATCTGGAAAGTATTCCTGTGCCATTTATCTTCGCTGCAGCAGGTAGCAATTTAACTGTCACTCCTTGCCTGCCAAAGCCTCCTCGAATGCATCTGTTCCCCAGCTGATATCCCCGGCTGCAGGACGCACCTACTCAACTCATCTTCTCTTTTGCAGGTGTCCCCTTCTGGACCCGGCCAGATAAGATGGAGAAGAAGCTGCTAGCCGTTCCCGCGGCCAACACAGTTCGCTTCCGTTGTCCGGCGGGCGGAAACCCAACTCCATCCATTTACTGGCTGAAAAACGGCAAGGAGTTCAAGGGCGAGCACAGGATCGGGGGCATCAAAGTAAGGCACCCGTTTTGAGCTCCATGTAAGAGGTTTTGGGGAATTTCTGCTGATGGTTTTTCTCTAGTGAGTAAGGAATTGTGTTTCATGGTGTTTCATTGGCATTGCTATGGGTAAGAGGGAAGAATGGTGCTGGTGGAAACCATCTCCTTGTCCTTTGGAGAGGTAGGATGGATCTCACCAACGAGCAGATCTGCCATGTTGGGGCTTATGGACATCCTCACAGTGTAGGTGACTGAGCAATGCAGTCCCCTTTGCCCACAGTAACAGCATCGGCTCCTCACTCTCTTCTTCCCCACTTCCCTTTCCACCAGAAGGTGTTTTGGAAAATACTCTAGCTCATGTTCATAGATAGAGCTAAAGGATAGCAAAACTCACTGCGCTCTAGTGCTTTAATCAGCCAGGAGTTTCTGTACTGCTCAATATCACAAATTAAGTGAGGAATTTAAGAGGAAAATCAGTTGCTCTGATTCATTATTATTTCTATTATTTTGTCCCTTTGAGCTCATCATCAGACTCCTTCATGTTTTTATTTGAGGGCAATGAAACTAACAGTAGCAGATCATAACAAAATCAGAGTAGCAGAAGAGAGCCCAGAGCAGTACTTTTCAGCCTGTACTGTGCCAACCCTGGCACATCCCTGGGCACTACTGAGGGAGGAAGGTGACTTTTAGAAAGGCATTTCTGTCAGTGCCCTAGATAGCTCTGTGCTCCTGCTGACTGCCTCTGTAGCACCTGGAAGGAGCAGCTAGGTATCCAAAGTATGCAGGGCTCCTGAAACCAAAGTTAGAATTCAAAAAAGTCTCCCCTTTGCCCCTAGTTTTGGACTGTTTCTTTCCTGCTGACTTAGGCTCATTTCCTGCAAGAGCCCAATGTCACTTTTTCAGTGAAACTTTTGAAGCTCCTTCATCAGCCCTGCTCCCCTTCTGACCTGTTGACAAGGCTGAGGACGCTCTTGGATTTTTATCATCTCAAAAGTTTAGGAGAGAAAAGGAGTGGGAAGCAAGGCTGTCCGAGGGCAGTCTTACTGCAGATAACATTTATAAAGCACAAGCATCTTTTAATAATTGCACACTGTGAGGATCATCAAGAAGCACTTCCAAGCTTGTGTGTGCTGTTCAAACGGCTTTTCTTTTGCAGAACTATGTAACATCAGCTGCACTAAATTATGGTTGGGGGATAAAATCTAAAGCTGAAAGCAATTCCTCTACCCACTTCCCAGTGGCTTTATTCTGTTCTTGAGTTTGAATTGATGTGTTTCATCCTGGGCAACATGGCAGTGTGTCTTTGACACCACTGTGCTCTGTTTCCCTGGAGGTACCTTCCAGCAGTGCCAGTGTTCAAAGAACAATTGAAGGCTATGTCAGGCCAATTACAGCAAGATTGATTTATGCTTTATATCTGTCTAGGTATAGTTCCTTGTCCTTCTCTTGCTGTGAAGACAACTTTCGCTCTCCATGATTTTACTTTTCTTACTTATTTGCTTTTATTGTAGAGCCATAGCTAGATCTAAGTAGCCTAGTGTAAATCTCTTCTAGAATATAGATACTGATAGTTATCAACTGTAATCTGAACCAGAAAAAGAAGCTGAAAAACTGTTCAATACCTCATGTATTTCAGATTTAAATTCCCACTTACACCTTAGCTTCATGTAGAACTAAGCAGCTTGAAAAGAATGGGCAAGATCCAGATCTGGAAGCATTTGCTTGTCTTACTCCATCTCCAGAGCTTATTTTAACTCAGAAATCCGTGAGCTGGGATTTTTTTTCATTTGTTTTCAGTGTTTGGAAGAGTTTAAAGGTTGGTTGTGAAAGGTCTGTGGTTAGCAGATGGAGGCTGACCACTGCTCCACTCCTGCGTCTCATGATTGGCATTTAGATATTCTCCATTCATCAAAACCCTTGGTAATGTCTGCAAGAGAAAAGAGAAGGTGTTGAAAACATGAAATCCAGGCTAACCTAGTTTTGTTACAGTTCATCCTTAAATGGAGAAAAGAAATTCATATGACTTACCATATGAAATTTCCCAAAGAGCTTTAATGGTTAAATCCTTGTTGGAATCTCTAATATCGTAAGCCTGTGTGTGTTAAATGACCCTAGAAGGGAAGATTGAGGGGGGAGGGGAGATGAAGGATTATCCTTTCCCCAGGCCATTGCACTGACTTACATACCAGTCTGGCAAACATGGACTGAGTTTCCAAGTGTGCCTAAAAATGTTTGTTTCACAAGGAGACAAGAAATGACAACACCAAATAAACCAGAAGGATCTTCGGTATCTCACCCACTTGATAAATGTCTGTGCTAAATCACTTTGTGTTTCTAATGTTTTATCAAATGCAGCAACTACCTAAATTGGCAACATCCCTTTTTATTATCCTTTCAATCTAGACTTCAGTCTCAACCTAAAAAAAAAAGAATGGTTGCTCCTAGAAGAGATTCCAAGCAAGTCCTACCTCCTGAGTTTGAGCCTCTTGGTTCACCTCTCAATTCAGATTCCAAAGTCCACACTACAAACACAATGATGAGAAGTTCTTTGAAAGTGTCCTAACAAATCCTAAACACCCCCTTTGGACCCACTTTTGTAATCTAGTTCACATTTGGTCACATATCTGTAGTCAAATGCAAATGTTTAGCAGTGCTGAAAAGTGGTTTAAATAGAGTCTTCATGACTTCATGAGACAGTCCAGTATGGAGATGAACCTCTAACCAGCCAAAAATTTGCATTCAAACTTCCTTGACTTTCTTGTATGTTCAGATCTGAACTCATGGTTCAAGTTCTCAGTTCTCAGAGGTTCTGTTATCCTGTGATTAAAGAGATGTGCCATGTGGGTGGTGCTTTACAAAGGGTTTCAAAGGGAATGCAGCACTTACCTGCATTCAGGTCTGTCTCTGCAGTCCTGAGTGGGCACATGTCAGGCCAGATCTGCCATCTTCAACACAAAGAACAAACATCTTCTAAAGAAAATTTAGCCACAGCCTCTTACTGCATGTAAACTGGAATGTAATGGTATATTAATCCCCACCAGAAAGGCGGGACACTCAGCAATGTTGATGGGGACACTGAGGTCTCCAGAGGAAGGACTTCGTTAAAATACTTGGTAGCTTATCTAGAACTAAGCTATCTAGCCCTATGACTTTAAAACTTCACTTTGGAAACTTCAATTTCCAAAATTCTAGCTTAAATTGTAACTTGGCCCTTGGCAATTTACATGTAGCTGAAGAGGCTAAATGACTTTTTATTTGACTTCACCTGCTGCAGCTAGAGTCCAAGGAGCAATTATGCTCTTGTTTTTTAATGTCAGCCCTTGACATTCAGTAGTGCAGCCTTACTGTGATCTCCCGCATCTGTGTCCTTGGAGTCAACTTGAAAATGTTTAATCAAGTTACATACTCTGCTTTGGGTGACAGAAGACATGAACTTAATATCCAGAGATTTGAAGAGCTTTCATGGACTGTGCATGCTGAGGACATCTCTTTGTGCTGGTTGCTTTCTATATTAGTTCAAGATTCACTTTCTATATCTGTAATTTCCTTTATACTCTTTATATACTCCCCTTTTGGAGGAGCACACAGCCAGCAAATTGTTGTGAACCCAACAACTCTTGACATGAGTCACATGCAGAGATACAGCTCTTATGAAACCTAGTGCAGAAAGTGAGAGACTGACTAGACATCGTAGGGACCAGGATGGCCCCTTAATGTTGGGCCTGTTTTTTACTCTGTTTTTGACTAATTTGGTGGTTCTGTCCTGAAAGGGAAGATAAAAGCCAAGCGGGAGAGTGATAGCTGAAAGCAATAGTGCAGACAAGGCCCCATATTTGTCTACTAAGACTGTGTAGCAAAGCCTGTAAGTTAGGGACATTGTCCAGGTTTCTGCTGTGGTCAGTGGGATGGGATGAGATGACCCAAAGGGGGAACCACATGGCAACTGAATCACTTCTGGGGATTTCCATTGCCTGCTCCTGTGACTAAGTAGTAAGCCCTAATTAGGGAACTAACTTAGTTTAGGGTATATATTTATTTCTAATCAGCTTAATGGCATGCTGGATGTGCTCATAGCACAAATTTTTAAAATACATTGTAGATGGGCTAAGAAAGTATCATCTTTACTGTTTTCTAGCCATCTTATTGTAATAACAGTCAGCAGGGATCTGCAGACAAGAGAGGCTTACTTTGAGTTGGTTGACTCACTGTCCCAGAATGGTCTGGCAAAGTGGATCAGCAAATCACAGATTACCTTAGCTGATGCCTTCCGTACTCGTTATTCTAATGAAAAGTGCAATGTACAGTCCTGCTGTCAGCTGTTTTCACTATTTCACTATTGTTATTGTTGTGGAAGTATCTACAAGTCCCCATCACAAGCACAGCATGTTCTGTTGTGTTGCACTTTTCATGCATTTGGTCTTAATTACTTTTTTATATTAAGTCTGTTCATGACCTTGATGTCTGCTCTGAAGTCCACCTGTGGTAGCCAAGCTTGTAGGAGACAGAGCCAAGAGCACACCTTTGATTTTCTGATTTGAGTGCCCTGGCAGAGATGGTACGTTACCATGGGCTTGATGGTTTGACTCCTTCCTCTAGCTGCGACACCAGCAGTGGAGCCTGGTGATGGAAAGTGTTGTCCCATCAGACCGAGGAAACTACACCTGCGTTGTGGAGAACAAATACGGCAACATTAGACACACGTACCAGCTGGATGTATTAGGTGAGATTTCACTATTTTCCCTTAACAATTGAATTGTAATGATGTTTAACAGGTACATGGTGGGATATGGAGGGAGAAGTTTGGTTTCTTTGTAGTTAGTGGAATTGTCTGTTCCTTATGATCGTCCCAAAGGGACTAGAGGGAAATCCTGTCATTAGAGAAAGGTGGCCAAATTTGGATTTCCCTGTTTTCCTTTCAGAACGGTCGCCCCACCGACCCATCCTGCAAGCAGGGCTTCCCGCCAACCAGACCGTGGTGGTCGGCAGCAACGTGGAGTTTCACTGCAAGGTCTACAGCGATGCCCAGCCTCACATCCAGTGGCTGAAGCATGTGGAAGTCAACGGCAGCAAGTACGGCCCTGATGGGACGCCCTACGTCACGGTGCTGAAGGTTGGTAGGCGCTCCTTCCTCTCGCAGCTCTGGGCCATGCTTTCTCTGCCTTTGTCTTGGTCCTGCAGAGATGGCATCTGCCTTGGGCAGATACTTCTTAGGAAAACCTGCTGCCCATGGTGAGGCTGTACTCATAGCAGAAGAGATCAGCTGTCCATCATTGGAGGCCATCAACTTTATTTGCATGTCTGTAAATGAACCTTGAACTAGGTTTATCATGGGAACCGGCAGCTCCTGACAGAATATGCTCAGTGCCACATTGCCCAGAAGGGCAATTACTACTTAAAACAGATTTTTGGGAACTCCAAGTTTCACTTTATATCGCAGTTTCAAGTTTATAAGGAAAGATTTTGAAGAATAAGCCAAGGACAATTGTTGGGAATGCTTTCTCGTATGCCTGTACAGTGGACAATAATGATTTTTGGAGGGATACAGCAAAAATGCCTTAAAGTCAATGTTCCAAACCCTTTTTCTTGCCAGAGATAACACAACTACTGTGGTGGCACAGATAAGCAAAGCAGTTGTAAGAGCCGAGGCAACTGTGAGAAATGTCATATAATAACAGGGCAACTGTCAGATTGCATTTGACCTAAAAGCGTAAAAATAACTTTTTTTCTTACAGCATCAAGAGAGGTATTTTCAAGGCTTGTTACCATGAAAGGCTCCCAACTAAAACACATTCTTTCCTTTTCTAAGTAAACATTCTGCAGCACACATGTACCAAATAAAGCTGCACTATCAGCACCCAATAGATGCAATGGTCTTGTTGCTGCAGCCCCTGATGTTTTTAGCATTGCTGCTACCCATGCTCTGGAAAATGCTTTCCTGAAAAGCAGCTTCCAGAGTACAGCCAGAAGGGAGCCGACTGCTCTGGTTTCTTTCCTGAAGCAATGCAGATATAAAAGGTAGACAACAGAGTGAAAAAGCATATTGGACACTTAAAGCAGTCCCTTTCTAAGTAACCCTGTACTTATATATATTAAAATACATAGTGCTTGGTTTTCTGCTTGTGCAGTTATATCTGAAAATGGAATTTGTCATATTTCAAGCTGAATCTGTTCTCTGCATGGACATTCCCCATGCCAGTCTTGCTCCAGACACCTTTTTTCTCCTTGTATGAAGTTGAAAAAAACAAAACCTTATCAGATTTATCAGACAGTATCTACAAAATTGTAACTCAGCCAGATATATGATAATAAAAGCCAGAGACCCTGGAAATAATTACACAGATTGAAATAACAGATTGGTTGGAAGAAATGACTGGAGACAGTTCTTCAGGATTGGCAGCCTGCACTTCTTGCAAGTTGATAAAACTTTCTAGTTTCTGTCTCTGCCTCAAAACGTGTCTAAATTAGGCATATTTGAATTTCCCCTTGGTTTCCCAGCACAGGACCAAGCTCTGAATAGCCTGGCCGTGTCACATGCCATCTCGTATAGCCCCCTAGCTCCGTGTGTGGTCCTCATGGGATAAAGTGCTACCTTTAGGAAGTGATCAGAGTGGCTGCGAACAGCAGATTGTGTCACAAGCACAAGCTCTCCTTTTGCTGTGGCAAAGAACGTATAAATAGCCCGTACAAATAGCGTTTTAAAATTAAGCTTCAGCAGCGCTGGGGTGGCTAGGCAATTAGAATTGCCAAATCCCTTCTCCTCTGTGGACAGCAAAGGCGCTGCATTCCTCGAAGGGGAGCACGGGCAGGCGCTTGAAAGCACAAGTTTTGTTTGGTTTGATATTTGCTGAATAGGGCCAGCACACGTCTATTTACTACTTCTGGTTAATCAGGAATGCTTTGAGTTGTATTAATGCCGGCATCAGCGCTGGGGCACAGAGCATTTCCATTTCGGGATGCATCTTTTGTGCGCCAGCACTGAGCCTCCGTTGAGCTGCATCAGGCAGGGCCTGATTTTTTTCCCCTCTTGCTTTTCTGTTTGTTGTTATTGTTCTGTGTATGCTCATTTTTTAATCAAGATGAGATAAAATGATCTCTCACTTATATCAGAGAAAGTTCCTGAGTTTTTTAGGGTCTTTCTCCCCCTTGCTCCATAAGACACTATTTTGATGCAGCTGGAGCAGGCTCCTGTCCACAGGCTCTTCCCTGGCTAAAGCTGCTGTGAAATGGGCTCTGTGCCTCCCTTCCAAGGCCAGTGTGCATGTTTAGTGTGGAAACGTGCACAGTGTCTTTGCAGGCCGCCTCCGGACTCAGTTTCTAATGCCCCATAGATTGGACCCAGTTTGATTTTACCAGGCTCTGAGTCACATTGGCAGGATCAGGGCCTGCAACTGGAAGCCCTAAGTTTGAATGGGAGAGCCTAACAACAATTTGCTTTTCCAGAGCCAAAGCTGATGTTTTTCTAGATTTTCCCTAGGCTACCTGAGGCCACCCCAATCAGTTACGTGTTTTCAACCAAAAGAAAGACAACTGTTTAGGAACAAACTGATGTGCTGTTGTGGCAGCCTGGAAGAGGAGAAATAAAAGCCTGCTTTGCAGACTGAAGTTTGCTTGATTTATATGCACCGCTTTATTTAGTAAAGAAGAGGCTCCTATAAGCAGTGGAAAAAATTACAGCTAATTTCTGAAAGGCAAAGTCAGCAGCGAGTCTCAGACCGCCGCTGCTTATATTTTGTTTCCAAATGCTATTTTGGAATCTGATAATTGAAACAGTATTTGCTGAGCTGGGTTGCAAACACAAATCTCCGCTTAAGCCCTCTCTGGTGCTCCTGTCTGCTGAGTTATTAAGAAACGATTGCGTCTGCGACTGCTGTCAGATGGATAAGTGGGAAACTGTTATGTTTTATGTAAAAAGAAATTCCGTGTGCATATAGAGCACAAGAAACACCTGGAAAGGGAAGGGAGTTGAGTTATGTGTGGTTTGGGGGTCAAATGCAGCTCCTTTTCTTCACCCAGGTCTTTGGTGGGTCTCTCACCATAGGGTGAGCAGGGGCTGTTTCCACAGTCAAAGTGAAAAGTCATGGATAGTCGTTCCTAGCTGATGTAGGTTGGATGGAGGTATTGTTTGGTTTACTGAAGTTCAGGTTTCTGTCTATTCCTGCAGTCTTGGATCAGTATAAACGCTGAAGCCGATGCTAACCTAAATCTGTTCAATGTGACAGAACAAGATGAAGGAGAATATCTGTGTAGAGCCAACAATTTCGTAGGCATAGCCGAAAAACCATTTTGGCTCCACATTCGCAAACCAAAACCAGGTAAACCACAGACTCTGTCCCAAGGCCCTGGCAACTGCAAGAATGAGCTATAACATTTTAAGAAGCTAGTGATTAAAATTGCTATTCATTTTGTATATACCCTGTCAACTGACGCTGAATGGCTTTATCTTATTTTCTTGCTATTTTTTTTACAAGAATGTAATGCTTATACAGCAATTGCCACAGAAAAATTCCCACAATAAAATGACTGTCGAATTTTGCTATCAACCCCTCACGCTTTTATTCCTTTCTCTTCCTTACAGTTGAGTGCTGATAACAGAATTGCATGCTAATGACTTATGACGCTCAAAGCTCTCGAGAACTAAGCAGTTTAAAGAGTTTTGCCCAGAAAACTGATCAAATGAGCACCCATGCTCTGCTCCTTTTGAGTAGCGATTGGGAAATAAGTGTTGACGTTGACTCATGCAAGCAAATGGGCAACGCAGCTCGGTGATGCTGCAGGAAAGCTCCTCGTGGGGCACCTTCCTGCAACCAGCCAACACTGCAGCATCAAGAGCTGGACAGTGGATATGTGAAATGGGCTTCAAAATGCCCATTCCGAAAATAATCCCCAAAAGTCCTTTGATACATGATGAACGGATAAAATACTGAGATGTTCATCTGGTCAGCACTTGAGTCTTTCCCGACTACATCTCTCCTCCTTTCCTGTTTCATTCTGTCTTTCTTTTTCTCCTTATGCACCTTCTCCCTCCCTGTACTCACTCTACTAACTCCCAGTCAGTCATATTGTGGGGGCAATTTTTCGTTTGGATGCTTTTGCTTGCATGCTTCTTTAGTGGGACAGAGTAAGAACCTGGTGAAGGGAACTTTTTTTTCTTTTTTTTTTTTTTTTGTTTGCTTTTGACTACAGGTTGCAAAGGGGAATGAATAAATAAAATGTGGAAGATGGGCCATTGAAAAAAAAAATCTTAATCTGCTTTTGAAATTTGCCTGTGGTGTCCTCACACTTGCTGGGAATGTGGCTCATTCTCTGTTTTCCCTCTTTCTATATGTGTGTGTTTTTTTTCCCCCCTAGACGGCAGGTGTTAACACAACGGATAAGGAGCTAGAGATTCTGTACTTGCGAAATGTAACTTTTGAGGATGCTGGGGAATATACTTGTCTCGCAGGGAATTCTATTGGGTTCTCACATCACTCTGCTTGGCTGACGGTTCTACCAGGTATTTCCTTCTGCGCTATCCTATCCTTTCCTCTCAAGGATGCCCTGATGTTTAACTTAGAAATGCCAAGTTTCTGCCAAAACACCCTTGCTTGGAAGAGGCTGCTGCACAGCCAGTGTAGGAAGGAGAGCTGCAGGTAGCCCTGTTGCATATTAATAGCTGGCATATTCATTTTTCATTTCATCTCAGGGCTTAAATCATTTCCTAGATTTCAATAACAATACAAAATGCCCTGTAACTTTTTTGGTTCAGATACCAGGGAGGTATTCCCAGCACCTACTTTAACAAGTCTGCATTTAGGTGCCAAAATGAAGAACTTTTTCTTCTTGCGCTGCTCTCCTACCGGATGAGCCAGGCCACCTAAATTGGAGCCTGCCCGCGCATCGTCTTGTGGAGAAACTTTTCTGTGTAGCCTTATCTCTTGCCTAAAATCGGATGCATAAGTGGCTGGTGTGATGCACCCTTGCCTGCCTGCGGCATTATTTCCACTTCATGGATGACCAGGCCCAGAGAACTGTCTTAAACAGAAGGTCGGTAAGAGGCATCTGCAGGCCGGACCCCGGAGTCCTGGCTCCCAGGGGCATTGAATGCCGGTTGCTCCAGCTGAAATCAATGAAAGCTGCAGCAGGCTTAAAAACTGGAGGCAGAGTGACCTCAATTTTGTGCGCTTTTCATGTGCAAAGCCCCGTCGACAATGAAGCCAGCGCAGAATATGCAACAGCGGGATCTGCCCTCCAGGAGAAGGGGAATGGGCTTTGGGGTCCCTTCACCTGCACAATTGGCTCCTGGGGGAAGGGAAACACCATCCTGGGAGGCATGTCAGGCAATATTCATGCTGAGGGGTGATGTGCCTGCAGACCCTGCAGGAACAGAACTGGAGTATTCTCAGTAGCCCTCTACAAAAGCAAACGGGCACATGAAATCCCAACATCTCACTTAGACTCCCTGGCCATAGGCCACGTTTGGATCTATCTAGCAAACACATTCATTTTCAGTGTGTTTTGTAACTGGAAACTTGGGCATTTCTAATCTTGACTTCAACTCTGTTGATGGTTCGGTCATAATCACTTTTACTGGGACTCAAGAGGGTTTCCTCCAAACCTGCCCCTGCTGCAGGTGGGATCTGCTGGTCTTATCTCTCTTTATTTGCCAGCGCTAAAGCAGCTTGGTGTCTGATTCTGTTTCTGCTTCCGCCATCCCCTGGATGAGAAATAGATGCCTTTGGCTAGAGTGCTAACATTTCTGTTATTTTAAGGATTTTCTGATATTGTATCATTTGACCATTACAAAATGCTTTCAAAATGTATGAACTCGCACATCCTATTTAAGCAAAAAAAAAAAAAAAAAAAAAAAAAAAAAAAAAAAAAAAACCAACCTGAAGTGGCACTTTATAGCGAAGTGAAGGGCAGCTGTCAACGCAGCAGTGCTGCCAACAAGACTTCATTATAAAGTATTCCACTGCCAGACATTCCCCTGGTGCCAACCCCACCTTGAGAAACAGAAAACCAGCCTCACCATGCCCCTTTGTACAGTGGAAGTGCCTGTCCTGAGAGGACCAAGAGGAGATGCACAAATGAGCTTTGCACATGCCGAAAAGGCTCTGCTAGCTGATAGCCATCAGCTGTAGTGCTGATGAGGTCATGCCATTTTCTCCCTGCTCAGTGATCCTCCTGGGCCGGCCCTTCTGGCTCTTTCCCCAAGAATTGAATTATTCTGAAATAATCATGTAGATTTCTCTTGGGAGACTTTTTCCCTGATTTGATGCCTTTCCCCTGGATGCCCTTTGAGCCCTTGCTCCCTCAAGGCAGGCACTGGTCTGGTGGAAATCTTTCCTTGAGTCCCATGTCCGCACAGCATCTCTTGTCAGTGTGGTCTGGTAGGTGACGTAGAGCAAAACCCCATCCTGCAGTCTTCACACATCCCAGGTTTTTTCAATGTGGATATGTGGAAACAGCAAGATCTGGTTTGGAGGGACTGCACGGACGTGTGAAGATGCATTCTGTCTAGAGCAGTGGTTTTCAACCAGTGGTCTGAAGGCCTGGAGAAGCCCAAGGATTGAATAAAGGGGCAATAAATTACCCCCCCCAGAAAAACAAGCCGCATCAATGTTAGCAAGCTCAGTTTGCTGCCGCAAAACCCACTGCACTAGAAATCACCAATGGTGGAAAACCACTGGCCTAGGAGAGCCACCTTGCTGCAGCTAGTCCAAGAAGGGGCTTAGATGAGCAGGTCCTCCCCACACTGCGAGTGTTGCATGCGTGTTGTGGTGCAGGGGCAGCCACCCACCTCCTCCTGACTCCCGTCTCTTGTCGCCTTGCAGCGGAGGAGCTGATGGAAATGGACGACTCGGGCTCAGTGTACGCTGGCATTCTCAGTTACGGCACTGGCTTTGTTCTCTTCATCCTGGTGCTGGTCATTGTGATTATCTGCAGGATGAAAATGCCAAATAAAAAAGCCATGAACACACCCACTGTACAGAAAGTCTCCAAATTTCCACTCAAGAGACAGGTAACAGAAAGTAGATACAAGATTCCTATTCCTTGCTTTGGTCACTCCTTGTTTTTTTTCTTTTGATTTATTTTTGTTTGTTTGTTTTTTATTTTTTTTCCCTTTCTTTGACCTTTTATTTCCAGGCAAGAAACTCCACCACAAAGGAGAGGGCATAAGTGGGCTGCACATGAGCAGCAGAATCCTCTCATTCATTTGCTTCTGTTACAGCAGAGTTGTAGTTGGTGCCACCTCCTGCTTTCAGTGAGGTGCTGGCAGACTCAAAGCAGTGCTCCTGGCAGTGGGAGAGGGTCCCCTTTCTCCACCCAGGGCTGAAGTGCTTTGCTGCTTGCAGTTACAGAAGGACGTGAGCAAAAGCACTCTGTAAAACCAGACATTTTTGGGGGAGAAATGAGAGATTATATGGGTTTCATGGCTTGGGCTGCAAGCCCACCAGTGCTGGTGGGCATATACTGTGCCAACACACACAGAGCAGAGGGTTATACGTGGCTTCTGGGAGTTCCCTTGCTCACATATGCTGCTTTAGACTGAAGATGTGACCATGGTCATGTATGCTGAGCTCCTGCGTTCCTGCAAGGAGTGGGGGAAGTGAGGGAGGAGGGTGACGTTTCTGATTTAGAGATTATGGAACAACATCAGTGCACAGAGTTAATTCGAAACCCCAAGGTGATGCCTCCTCAGGCATGAGCCTTCTCCACTTACGTGCACTCAAGAGTACAGTTGGCAATAACACTTCATTTGCTCTACCCAAGCAGGTGTCACTGGAGTCCAACTCTTCCATGAACTCCAATACGCCCCTGGTTAGGATCACGCGCCTCTCCTCCAGCGATGGGCCAATGCTGGCCAACGTCTCCGAGCTGGAGCTGCCTCCCGATCCCAAGTGGGAGCTGGCACGATCTCGGTAGGTCCATCCCGTGGGCTGGGTCCCTCTTCTCCCCAGGAGCCCCACCTTGCTGGTACCCATTAACACGTGCTTGTTCCTCCCTTCAGCCTGACCTTGGGGAAGCCGCTTGGAGAAGGGTGTTTTGGCCAGGTGGTGATGGCAGAAGCAATTGGGATTGATAAGGACAAGCCAAACAAGGCCATCACGGTCGCTGTCAAGATGTTAAAAGGTATGGGGACTTCTTGGAGGGCAGAATGGCATATTGCAGTGGAGTTTCCTCTCTTTTTTCCCACTCTTTCTCAAAGCAGTTTACATGTTTTATACAAACAGATCCAGTAGAAGAAACCGAGAACAACTTTTCTCCTACTCCACCCAGCCTATAGCCTGAGGGTGAGGGCTCTCCCCTTGGAGAGGATGTAAAGATGTAAATCCTGGCAGGGAAAGAAAATGGGAAAATACCCAAGTTTCTGCTAAGGGGCATTCAGGAGAAGGGGAATCACCTTCACTTCTAACAAGCTCTACAAATGAGTCCCAGATTCCCAAACTGCCTTTTAATAGGTATCAAAATGAAACAGAAGATGAAAGGTTTTTCTTATTTGCATATTATAATTTCTCTGCATTTGTTCAGATTTTTTTTTTTTGGTCAAAGATTTCCTTTTCGACCAAGATTTTCTTATTTTGTGGTGTTTTTTTTATTTTTATTTTGACTCTTCTCCCCAAAGTGGAAGGAAATACTGAAACTTTCAAAGCATTCATTTCCAATCAAAACTGCATTTGGCTACACCACAGTTGTATAAATTGCTTCACAAAAGACACATTTTCTCTCTGACGTTTTCTTTCTCCTCCTCTCTTGCTCTCTCCAGATGATGCTACCGACAAGGACCTGTCCGACCTGGTCTCTGAGATGGAAATGATGAAAATGATTGGGAAACACAAAAACATCATTAACCTCCTTGGTGCCTGCACACAGGATGGTACGTCTTGATTCCCATCAGGCAGGTGTAGGGCAGCAGAAACCTTGTGGTGCCACCAGCCTCCATCCAACCAGTCACCACCCCAGCTCTTCCACAGCAGGTCCCCTGGGAATAAGGAGTGGTGGCTGGAACCGGTGATCGGTGCTAAGGGGCTTTTCCTGCTTGCTCCAAATTTATTATGAATGAACCACATGACACCTGTCTGTGCCCCATGGATGGCCAAGTAGTTGACTGCATGACTTTTGAGGGCATGGAGATGTGAGCTCCCAGCTCACCCAGCCCACGCGCGGTACTTGCTTTTGCTCTGCCTGCTGCTGACCGTGCTGTTGCTTGCAGGACCACTCTACGTGCTGGTGGAGTACGCATCGAAAGGGAACTTGCGGGAATACCTCAGGGCACGTCGTCCACCCGGCATGGACTACTCTTTCGATACTTGCAAGTTGCCAGAGGAGCAGCTGACATTTAAAGACCTCGTTTCCTGCGCCTACCAGGTGGCCCGTGGCATGGAGTACTTGGCATCTCAGAAAGTGAGTTGAGAAACCCAGATCAGTCAAAGTGTTGGTTAAACCCTTATTTTCAAGGATGTGCAGTACAGCATGTGTGCAGGCAAAACATTGCAGACTTTTCCCTTCAGAGGTTAATTTTTTTCAGTGTGAAATGCCTTGTTTTTTTGCAAAAGATTTAAGTCCTAGAAAGTGTGTGGAGGTTGCATTCATGAGCTGTGCAGCTCCACAGCCCTGGCTGTCACCTGCAGGCCCACTAGCATCTCCACAAGGCACAGCTGTAAAACCACAAGCGTTCCTAACCTCAGCACCCATCCTCAGCAATTTAACCACTGCCACTCATAGGAGTAATTGACGTTCTACTGGGCAATCCTTACCTTGATCTGCAATGGTCATGGTGAGCATTGCACAGGTCTCCTCCCCCTGGACAACTTCTTGTCCCCTGGCGTCAGCCAAAGAGGAGGTCACCTGGGAAGGATTACTTTAGATTAAAGAGCTGGTGCAGCCTTGTTCCCCCCAGCTCCCTTTTAGCTCCCTGCTAAAAACACAGAGCACTCAGTAGGAAGCAGTGATCTTGCATGTAGCACATGTGCTCGTGGCTTTTGCAAGCGTGTGTAGGCTGGTTGGAGCAGAGCTGCTGGTGGATTTGGCTCACCACATAGCCAGGCCCAGGTTACTCACTTTGTGCTTTGTTGGCACTCAGCTGGCTGCTGCCTTGGCTCACATCATGCCCCTGGGATTGCATCTCATTTACCCTGGTGTCAACAAGTGGAGAATCTGACCTGTGGGCTTACTGGACCATGTGCCAGATACTGTGACATCTTCTTGGAGTAGGGAAATACAAGGCAAGAGCAAGTCCAGCTTCAGGTTTAAGGTGTATTGGCTCTGTAACTTGAGTTCAGAGCTATTGGTTTATGGTGGCTCTAAACTCCCTACCAGCACAGAGCAGACTAACTTAGCTCTTTTCTCAGATAACAACCTCAGTGACGATACATTAGGGATGTCTTAATTTGAGTATTTTTTTTCTCCAAACATCAACCTGCACTCTCCTTCTTGGAGAAAGTGGGACAACAAGGCAGCTTTATGTCACAGTAGACGCCCCCAGAGAAGAGGAGGGTTTGATTCCCACCCGTGCAGCCCCTTTGGCGAGAGGAGATGTGTGGCCGTGGCACCACTGATTAGGTGTTGCTAAGAGGTGGTTCCCATTGAGCGTGCATGATGGGCAGTGACACAGAAAGTGAGGAATTAAGCAGTGCCCACAGCTTTATGAGCTTGGGAGTCAATGAAGCAGCAGCTCATAAAGCTCCCGTTACTGGTGGTTCCAGGCAGGCGCAAACAGCTAACAAGCCCAAATTTATTTACTTGCTCACCTTTCACAGTGCATTCATCGTGACTTGGCAGCCAGGAACGTGCTAGTCACTGAAGACAATGTGATGAAAATAGCCGATTTTGGCCTCGCTAGAGACGTTCACAACATCGACTATTACAAGAAAACCACCAATGTAAGTACTGAGCTACCAAGCACGTGTAGTTTTCCTTCTGGCAGGGAAATAGGCTATCGCTACAGCAAACAGCCCAAATTCCACATTTCCCCTTTTAATAGGCCTGGAGAAGAAGAAATCTGCTAGTGTCCTGACCTGTAGACATGCTGGCCCCAGGAGCTTGCTCACCACCCGTTTTCTCACTGACAGATACTGCTGGAGTCATCTTTGCCAAAGATGCTCTTGACTAAGAGAAACCTTTTCTTATTTTTGAAGGGGAAAGCAGCAACAGAACAAAAGCTTAAACTATAATGTCGCATGGAGGCAGTGGTGGGAGAGGTTGAGGGTATTGCAGAACCAAAGCCTTGGAACTGCAAGGAGTTTCAATGCACAACTAGTCCAAGGAAATCTACCTTGCCCTTACCACGGAACAACGAGACAAACCCAACCCAGAATCCTGCTGATCCTTTCAAACATCACTTGGGAGAAACCTCCCTTAATTACCAATCTTCATCTTTGGAATTATAATTTTGACTCCAATGGATTTACACCCCTTGGAGAACTCAGAATGTAATGTCATTTGTGAAGTCCACATAAGTCCCATCTTTAGCTGGGTCCCCCCATAAGTTAGTCGTTGAGAAGACAGTATTGCCTTCCCTAAGCCAAATTATAGCGTGGGCAAGAAGCAATCTGCTGTGACCTCTTCAGGGATCAACCAAAGCATCCTGATATAAGAGGGTCCTATGGAAACTTGGCACCAGATTCCTGGTCTTTGGACTCTGGAGGATTGAGATTGGGTTCATAGAGGATCTGGCCCTGGAATTTACTCTGGGAAGTTTCCCCTCTCGTTCAGCAGAAGCAGCACTTGGACTGCAAGGCAAACTGTTGCTTCAAAGCACAGAGGTGGAAAGTGTTGCCTCATGCACTGCTTCTGAGCTAGCTGCATTTATGAGCACTGGATGCTGTTCCCATGCAAAGATTTAGATGCCCTGATACCATAAACCTGCCTTGGCAGTGACATGAAGTCCGCTACCAAGAGCCTGTTTACTGCTAAAATAGCCAGGGGAGATCCAGGGATCAAATGCTCTAATCTGTTTACAAGTGGCCACTCCTGCTTTGCCCAGTGACCGGGAAGGCAGATGTGATTGTTAATGAAAATGTTTCAAACTGGATTAGAGCAGAAGATTCAGCTGGTGCCGCTGTGGCTGAGCGAATATGCTGATGGGCCACTGCCTTTGTCTTCCTAATTACAGGGTCGGCTGCCTGTGAAATGGATGGCTCCAGAAGCATTGTTTGACCGGGTCTACACTCACCAGAGCGATGTGTAAGCATTACCCACACTTAAAACAAAAATGAAATAAAAGCAAAATAAACACCCTGGGATCCCAAAGGCAAGCGAACTGGGAACACAAGCAGGGCTCCTGCGCTGCTGGTGGGACGTGCAGACGCAGAGGGTCGGAGCCGCAGCTTTGCACATGTGGTTTTGCTTTACCCTTATCTAGTTGCTTTCATCTGTGGATGTCCAGCAGCTTCTGCAACATTGTAGGAAGGCAGGCAGGAATTTCTCATCTGGTTTATAGATGAGGAGTTGCGTTCTGCGGTCAAAAAAGTTCATTTAAAAAAAAAATAAGTAGATTTGTGTAAAAAAAAGTTACCCTTGACTTCCTCCATGCTGTGACCTGGATGGTTGCATGTCACTGGAGTAGGTGAGATGAGCCTGAGAGATTCTGCCCAGTGTTAGTAGCGGTGATCAGAGAATATTCAACACATGCATTTACTGGTTAACTTCGCTGCTTCACTTAATTTGCCCTTTTTTTTCTTGTCTGTTTTATGCCTCCATGCTGTAAGCAAGCAGAGCCTGCAAGAGATGATAGATTTATCAAGCTGCTAGCTTAAAGATTGTTCTTTCTTTTTCCTGCCTTGAATGGGAAGTAGAGCAGTCTAAGAAACTGTTTGAGATGATATTTCAAGTTTACTGGGGCTGAAGGAGCTCAGTATGCACACTGGCTTTTCTGTTTCAATATTTGGTTGATAATGGCATTTTCACACTAATTCAGCAGACTGCCTGTACACTCCTCAGAGTTCCCTGTTTAGAATCAGACAAATTTATCTTTTCTATTATGGTATTAATTTTACTTACTTTGCCTTTATTGATCTTAAATCATAGTTCCCATGCTTAGGTAACGTTGCATTGGGCACGATAGATAAATCAAAGCTAGGGAAAGAGAGAGTGAGCGTGCTTGAAAGAGAAACAGAGACAGATAATCCCTGTCTTTAAAAAGAAAACTAAGAAGGCAAAGGACATTCTTGAAAAGAGGACTTTTAACCAGAGCACAGCTGCAGGACTGGAGTGTGTAACATTAGTGCTGCGCTGATTTTTGCTGGGGGATTTTTCTCCCAGCTCGGCCAGTGAAATGAGTGTTGTAACAAGCAAGTTTTGGTATCGGCTTGCACAATTAGTAGCCTGTGGTTCCAAGGCAGCGATTCAGTGAAGCTGTGCATGAATAATTTGATTTGTTCCATTCAGTGGAGCTGGTGGAAGACCTAACAAAGAGCTAGGGGTAATAGATGGGCTGTCACCTATCTGATTAAATGCTCATTTCAATTTCAGACTTGGTGCCTGGGATTTCTTTGCTATTGAGTTGGATCAGCAGAGATCTCCAAGTAACTAGTAAAAATGGCCTAGGCAATTAGTCATGCTATTGATGACTTTGTTAGCTATGCATGGCTGCACAGAAAGAAAGCAGGGCGGGGGGGCAGGGAGCCCGGCAGAGAAAACCTCATTGAATTTTAAAGATCTTTCTTTGGTTTCCAGCTGGTCTTTTGGAGTGCTGCTATGGGAGATCTTTACGCTGGGAGGGTCTCCGTACCCGGGAATTCCCGTTGAGGAACTCTTCAAGCTCTTGAAAGAAGGCCATCGGATGGACAAACCTGCCAACTGCACTCACGACCTGTAAGTAACCCGCTGCCATGTCCCCACTGCGCTCCTCCTCTCGTCCCGAGCACCACTCACCCTCTTCCCGGCCTCCCCGTGGCCTTAGGAAGCATCACGGATGCAGCTTACCCACCCCTATCTTTTCCCACCCAATTCTCAGTCAACTTGAGGTTCCTCCTGGGACCTCTGGCCACTGGGTCTACCACTGTGTCATTGTGGTTGGAAAAGACCTTCAAGATCATGGAGCCCAACAAAGGACTGCCTTTGTGCAGTGGAGTGGAGGGAGGAGCGAGCCAGGAGCGTGTACGGCCCCGTTGGCAGGAGAGCCTTACTGAGCTCTTCCATCTGCTCCTGGCACCGCGCGGCACGGACGCCCCTCAGGGACGGAAGCCGTTGCACAGTCACCTTGGGTGTCCTAGAAAATGTCACAGTTCCAGTTGGCTCCTTCCTTGGTACTTCAACAACAGTAACTTCCCAAGCTTTAGGCAATGTCTTGGTGCCCATGTGGGACTCCCCACAGGGACCCAAGAAGGGAAAAGCAGTGGGACAAGCAGGCCCTGCCTAGTCCTTCCTGGAAGCAGCACAGCCCATAGCATTTTACTGGGATTGCAGAGATTGCAGGAGCCTCCTGCTTTCAGAAACCACCTGAAGAGATGTCAGGTCCTCCTGCCACCCACCTCAGTCCTGGTGGGGCGGAGGGCATGGAAGGGGCTTCAAGAGGTGCCCCACATCACTCCAGGTGACAACATGTCCCCCTGCCCCACAGGTACATGATCATGAGGGAGTGTTGGCACGCAGTGCCGTCGCAGCGGCCCACCTTCAAGCAGCTGGTGGAAGATCTGGACCGGGTCCTCACCGTGACGTCCACCGATGTGAGTGTGGCTCTGGCGCGGGGAGGGACGGATGCTCCTCCAAGGCTCAACGCCGCATCCCTGCGTTAACATCTCCTGGGTTTCTGCCCTTGCAGGAGTACCTGGACCTGTCGGTGCCCTTCGAGCAGTATTCGCCTGCGTGCCAGGACACCCACAGTACCTGCTCCTCGGGGGACGACTCCGTCTTTGCACATGACCTCCTGCCCGATGAGCCGTGTCTCCCCAAGCACCCTCAGTGCAACGGCGTCGTCAGGACGTGAGGACCTTCCACCCGGACCGACAGACGGATGGACGGACGGACGGACAGCAGACACGCGGAGGCGTGGGCCTGGCAGAGGCCGAGGACCAACCGTAGTGAAGGATCTTTCCGTGAAACTGCTTGGTAATTCCAGAAGACTTTTGTTGTTGTCGAGCTGTTCAGGGTAATTTTTTGTTTTCCCCGTTTGCTGTATAAAAAGTCAAGAAGCACTGTTTGGCCTGAAGGAACTAATCTCTTGCCAAGATTATATATCATATATAATTTTTTTATTATTATTTTTTTTCTAAACAGAATGTTAAATCTGGGGCAGGTGCCGACCCCCCCCACCTCCGGTATTGTATTATTGAGTGCCAGAGTAGCCGTTCTGTGCCTGCAATACGAAGAAGAGACAAAAAATCTTCCTTTAAAAAAAAAAAGTGTAAAGAATGTAGAAATTCTTTGCTTATGCAATCTGTACATGAACCTTTTTGGTGGAGCTGAAAAGCCACGTTGCCTGCAGGGATTCATATATTTATAAAGAATATCTATATTTTTGTTGTTGTTTTTATAGCTTCGTGATCTACTACCCAGCTACTTAGAAGGAATCCTTTTCTTTTTTTTCTTTTTCTCATTTTGTTTTTTTTTTTTTGAAGAAGAAGAAGAAAAAATAAGACGCAAGTAATAATAATTTCTTTTTTAAAAAAAAAAAAAAGAAAGATGGTGAAGTCATCCTAAAGAGCGAACGGCAGCGTTGCGGTGATGAGCCGCCCGTGCCGGCGGCGGCCGCGCGGTGCCGAGGGCGGAAAGCCGGCGTTCCCGCGGGATACGTCGGGATGAGACCCGGGGCACCGGCTGCTCTGCCCTCCCACGCGGGCAACCGCGGCTCCGGCTCCGCGCGGTGACTCGGAGAGAGAAGTTACGGGTACCTGTAGGCAAGAGCCTTTAACTTATATCAAAAAGGTTTATTCCAGAGAATCTTGTGTATATATCTATAAATATAGCCTGTATATATATAAATAAATATATTAAAAACAAAACAGAATGTACTATACTAATGCAACGTAAAGCCGTGCTGGGAGAGAGTCTCGGAATATGAGCATTGCAATCTAGGATATACTGATCTGGGCGACAAGAGATTTTTTTTTGTTTTTTTTTGGTTCTGTTTTATATCTTGACAGTTTTGTTTTAAAAATTGTACCTTAACGTGTATATTTGTAAAGTTATTTATAGACGTTAACATATCTGTTCATCGGTTTAAATAGTGTAGCGTTACTGTAAACTTTAAAATTTCATCGAGCTTAAGGGTTTTTTTAACTTATTAAAAACGGAGAAAAGTATATTAATCAAGTTCTTTTGTGTTTATGGGAAATATTGAAAGAATGTATAGATGTACAGTCATTTAACAAATTACATTTAATGTTATAAATATATATATATGTATTCCTTTAAAAAAATATTAGTTTATCCTGGATTGCAGTGAGCAAAGGTAAGTTTATTTTTCAATACATCACCAGTGGTTAAAACCAAACAAACAGCAGCAGAGAGATGATTTTTACGTATTTCAGAAAAAAATAAAAAAAAAAACGGGGCCAAGAATTCTTCCATCAGTTTAACCACTGTGCATTAGCGGGGCGTGGGTGTTTATTTTTCTATTTTCGAATGAAGGTATTCTTTGTGGTCAACTTAATGATAAGTATGCAGCAACGCTCAGCGTTGACTTTGGGTGACGCGTGCTAAATTTTATTCCCCCCCTGGCCGGTACCGTCGTATTTGGGGTTTGCATGAGCAAAACAGAGGCGTGACACTGTTCATAGGGGAGATGCAATGACTGCATGTTTCTTTTGCATTTAACACGTTGGGGGGGGAAAAAAACCCCAAGCCCAGGATGCTGGGCTGAAAATGCTGTGCTGTTTTGTTCCTCTACGACAGAGATTGCTGTGTAAAAGCACACGATGGAACAGGGAAATTTTAATATGGATCAAGCTGACAAGGGGGGAGGTATGGGTGTTTTTTGGCTTTTTTTTTCCTTTGTTTGTTTTGTTGTTTTTTCCTGTCCAGAAGACTTTATCTGCTACCACAAAGAAGCAAGGGTAATTGCATCCTGAATTCTTGCTTTCCATTTTGCTCTGGTGCATATTACATATCAATGTTTCAGAATAACAGGATGACAACATCTCATTTTAAGATATTTTTTTTCTTTTTAGAGCCACAAAATCCTTATCCTAAAATAAATAATTTATAGTTTGAGGTTACTTCAGTGGAAGTTTGAGAAAGTAGATCTCTATAGTTTTTTGTTTTGTTTTGAATGAAAAAGAAAAAAAAGAATTTGGGGGTATTTTCTTACAAATGTCTGCTAATTGTGTACATTCCAGGTACTCGAAGCAGTGAGTTTCTTGTACTGAAAAAAGAAAATGTACAAAACTGTGCATGATTTCAAATGTTACTAGATATTATAAATATATATATAATTTATTGAGTTTTTACAAGATGTATCTGTTGTAGACTTGTTGACTTAACATTTCTTATTCAATGCTTATATAGTTTTATAGCCTGGACTATTATCTTTAAAAGCTTAAAAAAATTAAAAATTTTTCATTTTGTTACATTTTATACCGTTGATGTTACAATCCACAGGTTTGCATAGCGTGATTTTTCAATGAGCAACTCTGTTCAGTTTATTTTAATACTGTACTTCTGTGCCTGACAGCTGCAGCTGTCGCAGGTGTGAGACGAACACTAAATAAAACTATTCTGCTTTTGTTAACATGGCAAACTTACTTTTACCAAAAAAAAAAAAATAATAAATAAACAAGTTGTTAAATTTTGGGTTTTTTTCCCAGTCGTGAGGGTCCTTTGCGGACACTAATGTTGCATTTTCCAGGGTCTGTAGCCACCAAACCCATGCAAGAGGGATGTGTTTTGCGGTGGTGCTTTGATCGCTTTTGCCCTGGGCATGATTTTGCATGAGCAGCGCAATGTTAGGGCTTCATTCTTCAGCAGATTAACCTGAAGCCAAGGTGGGTGGGTAGGAGGTGCAGTTTTCCCCCTCTCCTGTGTGGGATGACAAGGACAGCCCTTTTCATGGCACTCATCGGTGGCCAACAGTACTTTTCAGTCATGCTGGGCTTTCTCCCGCTGATTTTGCAGAGGGTGTTACATTCGTGACAGCGATGCCAGGGAGGGAAGGGGGCTCTTGCACCCGGTTGGGTGCAGAGCAGACATCCATCCAGGGTGGAAGAAAATTGCACCTGGTAGAAGAAAATTGGGACCTGACCCAACCCAACCCCACCAACAAGGGCAGCCTTGGGGCAAGGAGAGCAACACCAAGACTTTGCCCTGCCAAAACATCCACAAACGGGCAGGAAAAAAAATGTCCTTTAAGCAGGGATGGAGGCAGACAGGAAAGCCACAGCGGGGCACAGCCCTGGCCCAGGCGGACACTGACCTGCTCCAGTGAACCCGTGGGATATTTGCTTTCCCTCTGAGGTGTCATGATGTCACCCTCCTCTGCCGGCCTTCACTAGCAGCACTGTTTGCTTGGAGATGAGGATGCGGACTGATATCTTCTTCTAATTGTCTTATTGTGAGTATTTCTCTTTGGCTGCACTTGATGTGCATTGACAAAGTGCAATAAAATGCTGCCAAGGAGCATTTGTGATGGTGCTCAGCATGGGGGAGTCATGGCAGGCGTCCCACCGCATCCAGCACCGCTCGTCCTCCCCTCCAGCATCTGCAGCCGCCAACCTGAACATTGGGTGCCCTCTCCATGTGAAAGGGCATGTTTTTCAGAAGAAATTTCTTTTTTCCTGGGTGGGTAACTACGCAAACAGGGCCTCGCACTGGCCCCGTGACTTGTTCCGTGGCGACGTTCAAACAAACTCCCAATGAGGCAGTTGGTCACCGCTCCAAGGTGGAAAAGTCCCAAGTCCTGCAGGCGTCAGTAAGAGACGGAGCAAAAGAGAGCTAAAAAAGCAAAGGTTTCCTGCTGCTGCTCAAAACTCCTGCAGGACTTGTCTTCTCCTGGTGTCTGCCCCTGAGCTCTTAGTCACTCCCTACACAACCCACTGAAAGGGGAGGTGGGGACAGGGACATGGGTTGTGTTGGCATGGGAAAGAATGGGGCAGGTCAATGATGGAAGCACTCAGCACCACAGCACTGCCAGCAGTGGGAGGACACAAGGACCTGCCCAGAGAAGAAGCCAGGAGCTACAATGCTTTCTAGACCTACTGGCAAGTAGGTGCCTATGCTTTCTAGACCTACTGGCTGGGCTGGACCTAGGGAAACATTCCAGAAGAAATCTTACCGGACAGCAGTCTTGGGCTGGGGACTCACTGACAGATAGTTTCAGGCTAGGGACACATTGTGCTGGCCTGCACCCTCATCTCAGCCACTTTCACTCTCTTCATGGTTTAACTTGCTCGTGCCTCTCTCATTTACCTTCTCCATTTCATCATCGCAAGGTTGTTTTCCACATACAGCATCTCAGGTGTAGGCAACCCTTTAAGCAGAAGGAGCGTTGTGCCCTGCCCCAACGTGATGGTTATCTAAGCTCAGGAGAGACGTTGGTGTCCCAGCCAGAGCAATGCAACCACCCCCGAGCCCTGCAGGGATGGCTGCACCCACACACCCTACCGTGAGTGAGCATCTCGTTGGGCTGGCACCCGCTGGAGACCAGGCTGTGGCCACTGCTCCAATCTCAAGTACTTTTGGGGCAGCAGCAGGATGCAGGAGGAGATGGGAAAAGAAAGCACGAAAGGAGAAAGACCTCTTGCAAAATGCATAGGTGGCACTGACCCAGGAATGATTTTGCTGAAGGCCAAAGTACATCTGCTTGCATCACTCACTGAACACTGCTTGCTCGAGGTATCTTACCAGTGCAGATAAAAGAGGTTTTGTCATCAAGGATGAAGGCCTTGAGCTGGGAAGACATGAGGGAAAGGAGCCAGAGTCCTAGGAGAGCAGGGTTTGCTGCTCCTTCGGCTTTTGGGAGATGGAAGTGGACAGAGGGCAGTGACTGATATTTTTAGGCTGGGTCTTCCTTGTCTTTTCTCTGCTCCCCCAGGGCTCAGGCATAAGCAAAGCAGGCAAAAAATAAACATTTAAAAAAAAAATATTTTGTCAGTCCCCACAGCAGTGCTCTGCCTATTAGATACACGAGCATTTAGCTCTTGGTTTGTACAGCACCTGCAGTGACTGCAAACTAAACGATGAGTTTTGTGCCTCTTCCCTGGCACCTCTCCCCAGGACGAGGCAGGAGCAGGGAAGTGTCGTCACGTGGCAGGTGGAGAAGCGCCTGGCTGCCGGAGCCACGAGCACCTCTGCTTGCTGCAGGGCTTCTCACCCCCTGCTGCAGCAATGCAAGGAGCCGGGAGGACTCTGCAGCGCAGGGAGGTGCTGTCCTGCACCCCGCTGTGGCCGCACTCCCAGGGACATTAAGGCGCAGAGCAGTAAATCAGGCAACAAGACTGACCCACAGCTGGAGGGCCCACGACGGGACATGGATCAACACGCGGCCTCTTTATTGACAGCACCCCCTGACTACTGTTGTCACAGACACTCAGCTAAACAAGACACTCACCCCTGGGGCTGCATCCCCTTCTCGAGCCGGGCAATGGAGCTT